ATCTACACTTGATTACGCATTACCAGTCATTACCTCCATTACTGACGTCGAATGAGCTTTGGTGAGGAAACATTCAGTTTTTTTTTTTTGTACCATATTGCACGCTACTGCTGTGTCTTTCTTCATTGATACTTTATCTTTCTAAGGTGTGCAGAACGAAAACATTCAATGAGGTAATGTTGGAGTTGCCCCCTGATAACTAAAAATACAAAAAAAAGCTCTCGTGCATGCCTGTTCTCCTCATGTGCCGGCAATTGATCTCCTTAGCTTTATTTGCGCGTCAATCATTTGGTGTTAATTTTTTGGCCTGCAGATGATAGATGACTGTTTGTCATTATCCAACAGTTTGTCAAACTGAATTTATTGCGCCATATCAGCCGCAATGTGTCAAGTGTGTTCTCAAAACTGCACTCATGTATAAAGTTTTAAAGAAATCGCAATAAAAAAAGGAAAAAAAAATTGGGCTCGTCCGGGATTTGAACCCGGGACCTCTCGCACCCGAAGCGAGAATCATACCCCTAGACCAACGAGCCGACTTGCGGAAGAGCGGCTGAGAGTTGCATTTTATGGCTAGAGAGACCACGTGCCGTAAAAACGATGGGGGAGGGGATATGGCGTTAAAATCGGGGCAAATAAACAACAAAAAAAAGTGTTTTCCCCAGCTAGTACGAACCAGCCTGCCCAAATGCGAGCGCTTGAGGGACAACGAGAGATGAAAAAAAATTGGTACAAATTTTGTTCCCCCATAAGCACATTAATTACAATTGCTGCGCTCTTCAAAGAACAACAATAAAAAGAAAAATTGAAAAATTGAAAAAAAAAAGTGGGCTCGTCCGGGATTTGAACCCGGGACCTCTCGCACCCTAAGCGAGAATCATACCCCTAGACCAACGAGCCGACGTGGGCTGGCCACTGATATGCATAACTTTATCTCGCTTGTGCCCAAACAACTGCGTTTTTGGCCGCTACGAGTTCTGGATCGCGGCAGCGTTGGACCGGATTATGGCATGAAACTGCTGAAACGTTTGATGTTCATGCAATCTTCGGTGACCGCACCAGAGATTGAGAAACGGTTCGAGTGTTGAAGGCATTACCGAGCGAAGAGCGCGTTTTTTTTTTTTTTGACAGAAGGACTACGCGGTATGAGTACAGAAACCGTTGTCCTCGCGCTACGTTGACGCAAGGAGAGCTCGAGGTGAAGGATGGATGGATGCTTCAGTATTTTAGCAGCTGCCATGCTAGCATCTGAAGCCGTTCAGACGTTGTGGAGCAGTGTGTTTTGTTGGACGTGAAAAAAAAAAAAATGCAGCTGGGAAACTTTTCTTTTGTTCGACTAAAGCGCAGAGGGGATTAAATTCGCATTCGTATCTTGCAATTGATATACACTTTCAAAATTTGGTCCGATCGTTGATTGCTAGTGTGGAAACCAGTTAGGTGCAGTGTGCCACCATAATTAGCGTCGATACTAATAACCTGCGTGCATTCCGCGTGGTGCCGGCCGTCTATATTACATAATTTATATGATGTCTTACGCGGGAATGTATAATTAGTGTCGTTCATGTGTTATGCCCATTCATGACTCGATGAATGGTGGAATATGACCAAATTTTTCGATGTTCAACTATTTGACACAAAAGAATTTGTTTTATTTGGATTACTAATTTAATGTAGCTACCTGTAAACAGGTTGTAAACTTGACATATACTATCCTCTTGATCTCTGATTAACTTGTAAATGAGACAGCAAATTGGGAGTACTAAGGTTTGTCTTAGGCACTGAATAATTACATAGCTCTAGTAATTAAGCTAGTAGCCTCGGTCTCAATTCATTGCAAAGTTATTAATGAATTTGAAATACCAAATTTTATGGCACAGATTACTGGGGCATTTGTGAGGTAAGGTACAGCTGCTTGGTTTAAGCAAGGCCTACATCGTTCCCTAAGCATATATCTAACAAACTCTGACCTAAATTTTATGCTGTCATTACATGTGCATGTTTCCAAATATTTGGTAATACGAAGCAGGGATAGGCAAAGATACTTCGAAATTACGATACAACATACCACAACACGTACTGATTGTACCCAATACGATGCATTCAAGTAGCATTTCAAGATACTTCAATACATTTGCAAATTTGTTCTTATACATGTATGCAGTACTAAAATTTATTAACTGTGAACTTTGAATGAAATTTCTGTGTGTATTGCAAAAGTTTTTTTGTTGTTGTTTAGCTACGGTCGCTCTAGCTGCATTACATGACAGCTCTTCTTACACTTTACTGGTAGTGGTTTTTACTTGTTGCTATTATAATTGGTGGGAGTCACCGCTCTGCTTGCTGACCAGCTAATGCGTTGCCACCTAATCACGAGAACTTCTATGAGAAGCCCCCACACAGTGGTGCAAATGTCACTGTGTAGTTCTATCTTAGCCACTACATATTACCCTATCACCGGACAGGTGCACATCCGCAAGAACGCTGGTAATGGTAGGGACATAGATTGCGGCGCATCGTGCTTACGGAGAGGACGTAAAGCTGCAATGACTTTTCGTGGTCTAAATATTTGCTAGCGTAAGGCATTCTTTAGGAGAAGTACTAGTACTAACTATTCTCCTCCGACGAGAGAATACGTGTCCGTTGAAGACATCTTACACATGTCGTATGGTTGCACAAAGTGCCGCAGGACATCACTGCTATTGATACAATATTGCCACTTCTTGCCAGAGTATGTTGTATTGTATCGTGATACAATATCAAAGTATCTTTGCTACTCTGAATAGATGGTGATTAGTAGCAAGCATTTAGGGAAGCCTATAAATGGAAACCGAGCATATCTAAGCAAAGAAATGCACCAGGTAGTATCACGCATAACTGGTGCAAAACTTTATTACCAAATGAACCACACTCTATCACTGATGTTCACGCAATTTATAATGTTCAGCCATTGTATGATATTTTCGGATGCTAAAATGCTCACATGACACTAATAGCTTTCATGCTCACTGTAGTTTGGCAGCTTGCTACCAGCTGTGACTGCTGGCGTCGCACCTGCGTCTGTCTGTAGTAAGTAAGCTTTGAAAATGTTTATGAATGAGCTCAAACTTTAATACATTGCACAACAGCCACATACAAAGAGTGCATTCAAGCAGTTTTATTTCAGCAATACAGTAGTTTCTTTAATGCAGGCATTGCACAACAAAGAGAGTCTTCAGCTTGTATCCTTTTTCGCAAGCAGTATAAGGGCTAAAGTTCCTAAATGCAAAGCAACGAAAGAAAGAACTCCATATGTTGTTCAGCTGAAACCACAACTTTCCAACACTTCATGTAAAGATTCAAAGTAGTGCTGGCATGATGTGTTCATTAGAATCCACAATAAGCTGTAATAAATGCAGTTGCACATAAAAAAAACATAAAGCCAACAGGTGAAACTGAGAACTGCTCAAGTGTCTATATTTTACATAAGCTTTCACAGAAAGCTCCAAGTCTTCCTTTTAGCCATTCCACTAGTCTGCGAGTCGGATGTAAAAGATCCGTAGCGAACAGTGAAACGATCACATTTAAACAGGAACTCAAAAAGAAGAAGGAAATGTTGAGAAAGTGATAAACGATGTGACGATACAATGTCTAGTAACGCAGCTTCGTTGGGTGAAAAGTCTATCCTCCCCAATGCTAAGCAACTTGTCAAACACACAAGGAACATAGTTGATCTATGACGGATGTCTAACAGAGCACACTTAAGAGACTTTCTTGGAAGTAAAGCATATAACTCTGTTGGGGAGGCTGTCCGTTATCATCCTATAAAGCTGGATCAGGATTGCTGGGAGCATGTTGTCCTTTTAGCATGAGGTGGCTCAAAGAGCAGCCTTTCTTTTTGCATGGTCAACACAGAGAAATGATCTGAGCATTAATATATTTGTCTCGCAAGGTCTTTCCCGAGTACAGTTTCATGGCATCATTCTGAGGTTCTTCTATGGCCATTTTCCTGTACAGTTCAGTTACATGTCCTTTCAGAAAATTAGGACTGACAAGTCCATTGCAAGGTGTGTCTAATGTCTGTGTCGTGAACGCTGCAGCTGATTTATAGCATTATCGTACACCGCTACATTTTCCTTGCATCATTCATAAGCTTTCTACGTTTGCTGAGGCCTCTGTGACGCTTCAGGATAAAAGGACTTGGCCATTCCTCAATACATGCCTTCTTGATATTGTTCTAAACATAGTGGATTAAACAGGGGACAGTGTTGTTGTGACATCCTTCAACTGTGAGGGAACGAAGTCTGTTTTCATGCTAACGATATTCTGGCCAGCGATTGACATATCACGACAGTTTGTTCAAAACAAATGCTGCTGGAAATCGCTAATTTTGAATCGTGAAGCCGTTAATACTGGTAGCTGTCGTTCCAACGCAAACAAAATTTCACCAGTTGGACGACATTGACCCGCTCGATCAACTACAGCCACATTTACAGCTCCTGGAAGCCAATACGGTAGCAGTCCATATCATCAATGAACGGCTGTGTCATTCATGCACAATCTGGGGCATGTCGCCAGAAACGGGTAACACTGAAAAACGAGCAGTCTCATACACTTTAAACACGCCACAACAGTAAACATTCAAACAACGACAGTGCCGAGAGAGTGACATATAACAGGTAAATAAATAAGAAGCTCAGCCCGTGTGGTGTGTGCATGTTCACCCAAAAAGTGCATATGGTCATTGGTCAAAGAACAAATGAGACTCCTTTCCCCTTCACAGAGCTCGTAGAGAACAGAGCTGTGCTCACTAGACGTTCACACCTGTCACTTGTTCATGTCGTACGAACAGCTGTACGCATAGAGACGTGTACCGTCACAGGCATCGTCTATACTTTCTGCTGCAAAACTTCCACAAAGAAGTTCAGCACGCTCAGAAGCCTTGTCCAATTTGCTGAACGTACACTGCTACTTGACCTTTCTGCCAAATCGCACACTGTGCTTTGGCAGCTGCTTGGGATATGTCGAGTTACACTGACAAATAGTGCAACGTTATGTCTCAGAAGAACTGCATCAGTCTATTGCCCTGCACATGTGAGGCATTGCGACATTGGACATACTCTGCAGTACCGAAGCTGCCGACCTAGTCGGTCTTACTTCTTGGCCAAGTGCCAAGGCGACGTGGAAAATAAATCGAGCTGGAAAACGACACTCGAGACCCTGTAAATGGGGGAAAGAGTACCGAGGCTCCTTTCAAAATAAATTGACATGCTTTGGCGTCGCCACCGCCAAGTGCGAATTGCTGCAAGAGCCCAACAACGAGAAGATTTCAGTGTCTTGACACTAGCAAGTTAGAAGTGGTTCAAACACTGCAGCAGTACATTGCTGTATGCCTGCAGAAATGTTCGATGACACGCACTGTGGCTGTCCCACTAGCACAGACAGCTTCACCGCTCTTGACAGTGGGAGCATCACTGTCCTGTATACTATGTGATGACCGCCTTGTTGCACTGGTTCCTCAGTCTACCCCTTTGTCTTGAAGGACCAGTAAACAACCTTGCACTCCAAACTTCCTGATGGAGAAATAACTGTGCACTTGTACGGTGTGAACATGCTTCCACTAAAAGTTTGCGAATAAGTGCTGTAATAAGGAAGCTACAGGGTATAGAACAACCCACTTTGGCTGGTTTCGGTTTCTCGCATGGCCTTCCCATCCTTCTCAGCAGCAAGTAGTGGTAGGCGCAACTTTTAGTCGCGACCTTGCCCACTTTGGCGACGTAACACGACAATGATTATGTCATCGGCACACAGCCAACAATGGAGCAAGGCTTCTCCCGTGTCGTGAGGTAGCGGGATCGGGAGAAAGCACAATGTGAGGGGTACAAGGCACCGGGGAAATATGCACCCTTCCCTAAGTGTAAAAGTCCCGAGACACATTTTCGTCTCGGAAGCTTTCATTCTGGCCATACCGCTTGTCTTGGTAGTCCCGGGGCTGTAGCTAAATGGCAGAGGGCAGCACAGGAAAATGAAAGCGTGGACTGCCAAGTCAAAGTGGTCAAATCTGCATCACTGTAGGGCCAAGGCCTAGTTTTGTACTGAAAAGGACCAATCGACAGCAAGGTTATGTCACTTCGTGTCTAAGTAGTATTGATTAGACACGCGTGGGAGATGGGCATGGGAATTATTCTTTTTTTTAATGGAGCGGCTGCATGACATGCAGTGCTATGATATTCACAAAATTTGACTGCCATGGCCTTCTGTAAGAATTGGCGAGATTGTTTGGAAAATTAAAAAAAAAAGTTGGAGCTTGTTTACTGGCCCTTTAGGGAGACCAAAGATGGCACAAAGAAGTGCTACTGACCGGCAAAGGCTTTGATTACTGGATGACTAAAATCAATGCAGATGTTTTTGACTCAAACGGTTACTCACAAGATGTTCACAAGGATCACCATCACACCTGCATGCAAAAAAACAGTCTCATGGAACTTGCAATTTCTCAGGGTCAACACTATATCCCACATCTTTCGAGAGTATCTTGATGGCAAAGGTAATGTAAATGGTCACTTGTTTCTTCGTGTTACTATATCAGATCAATATCACTGGTCATTTCACCGGTTACAGTAGGGGCACAGGGGTTGAATCATAGTGCATCTTTGTTTCAAAAAATAGTGTGAGAAAATGTTTGTGTTGCTTGTCAGGGTTCACAGTCGGTTTGTGAAACTGAGTCGCAGTTCACTGTAACCCATCTGTAAGCATGGATGAGGTGCACACAAAATCAGTTCATCACGAGATGCGTGCCAAGAAGTTTCACAACAGCTAAGGTGTCTCTCAGCTCTTCCGGTGCAAATAAAATGGGCCGCTAAGTGAGAACGATAGAAAAAGAAAAGAGCGTTGCTGTTTGTGGGCACTAAGTCACGAGTGCACATCACAACTTGTGCACTATAGTCAGCACGCAGTTCAAATAATCACAAACGGCTGCACAGACACTGTCATGAAGCACAAAAATATCACCGGTGAACCTCACGCGTCAGAGATCCGTTCCTCAATGTTGACAAGTGATTAACACACTGTCTACATAAACTGATCAGGTTTGCCCATGACAACATGCCCAAGGCAACATGCCCAAGGCTGATTGCCGTTTTGGTGGGACGAGTGTTTAAGTGCGGCCCCGAAATGGACCGTTTGTGAAGGATCAGCGTTGCGGTTTTCGTACACATCGTTTCTATTTTTTGCCACCTGCCGAAAACCTTGTGTAGGAGACTTCACGAAAGCATGCAGATTAGGGCATAGAATACCTTAAGATGAGTTGTCTTGAATCATAGGACACCCACTGTGCTTGTCCATTTTCACACTTGCAGGTGCACAATAACATCATGTCTGCTTTCATTCCAAGCGATTCAGACTTTCTCAGCAGGTTTCGCTCAACTGCCATGCTGATATTCTTTGCCATGCTGTCAGCGTGAAAGCTGCATGCAGTTTAATGTTACTTGTCACCCTTGCTTTGTTCAGTACCTTTGCAATGGGCTACACGCATGAATAGATCAGCATTTGCCTTTATGCTTTCTCTGTTCTCAATAGTTCGGTTGCACGTAAATGCATGAGAGAACACATGGCTGAGATTGCTATTCTCTTCCTGCACTCAGCCTGGACTCTTCTGAGAGTGGACTGCATGAATTTTTTTTTCAAGTCACAATGGCTTCAGGGCCTGGTTTTGAAAATCACCAATATAGCCACACTTCCAGCCAGAGTCGAAATCAAAATGCTACAGTAGGTTGTGCCGGTGTCTCAAAATCTTCTCCTTGCTCTTAAGTGTCTGGCCAGTGCGAAAATCATTTGAATTAGCAGGCCGTGCAGGCTTGTGTCATAATGGTTCACAGCTTTGGAAAGCAGTGACTCGGGGCCACTGCACCAGAAAGAATTTCCAGCACCCGATTCGTTCGGGTGCTTCCCATCTGGCACCTGAGTTGTGCTTTCCTCAAAGTTGACCACCGGTCTATAGAGCTGCGGCCAGATGTGCCGACTAACGTCACTGCCACTGCTTTACGGTGGCAGCAACTGAGTGTAGCTGTCGGTGCTGCACTGACTGTTCTCGACCAGGCTCTCAGTCGAACTGTTTGGTTCGTACGGCGATGGCTCCGGCTGTTCTTCCGTTCTTTTGTCGTGCTGCGATTCATCGGTCTGCTTGGCCTCCTCGATGGTCGTGGGAGGTGCAGTCAAGTCAACGATGACTGACGTTGGCACCGACTCCTTCGTGGCCAGCCGGTCATCTCCACGCAGTAGCGATCGGCGCTCCTCGACCGCGAATTCGTGGCTGCGGTGGTCGAGGCCCTCGCAGAGTGACACGGTCCGTGCGCTGCGTCGGCTGCCTTGTGGCCGTGACACAAAGTGCGGCGCGAGTGGGTGCTCCTTGACCTTGGGTGACGGTGGCAAGTTTTCGTTGCTGCTGCCAATGATGAGGTTGAGAAGGCGACTGCCGGTACTCAAGATCCGAAACCCGGTCTGGGTGGTGTTGTCAGAGGTGTTCCGAGTCCTGCAAGCCACCAAGGTAGAATAGATCAAAATACAAAACAAAAGGTGCACCATGAATCAATATAGAACACTATAAATGGGCCTAATAAGTTTCATAAGGGAAAGGTGTATGCATTATTACACGGCCCGGCCATAGCACTATGAGCTAGCCTAATAAGCTTGCATGCACCATTAGAAAGCACGACCATTTCAAAAAGCACGGCAATCACTCTTATTATAGATATTCTAAAATAGATGGAAATTTTACTATGAACCACAAACTCTTGTAGATTATAAAATATCCAAAAAAGGAGTGGTTGTTCTAGTGTACAGATTAGACGTTGCTCAAAAATTTGTCGTACAGATTGGATTTTTCCCCATTGTGCATTAGACTGAAGACTTTGGAGTGCCATGTTTGTTCATTGTGATCAAATTTAGTGATTACCTAAAGTCTTTGCTGCAGCAATGAAACGTTGGCACATTATTGATTGTAACCATCTTCCGCAGCTGGGAATCCTTATGACTTAAGCTCTCGATACCTATGGCTTCCCATTAGTGCACAGGGTAATCTAATCATAAAATGCTTTCAAGGTGCCAACACGGCTTGCACATTCTCATGGTGACGGAGATAAGCTGCGTAGCTGCTGTGCAGAAGCACTTGTCGGCGATTGGTTAGCTGAGCAGACAGTGTACAGCAGTGCACTGGGTGGCAAGAAAATGGCGACACATTGCTGTGTGTGAACCAACGTCTTCTCAATGGTGTCTGCTGAATACTGCTGGCAGCTTCTTTTCTCTTTTTGTCACACACTTTACGAAGCTCGTCAGCGGCACCGGGAAGAGTGGTACGATTCTCCTATTAAATATGCATACTGCCAAGGTCTGTGAAGAGAGGACACTACTCACGAGATGAGTGGGCTGTCTAGGAGGTGATTCGAGATGGTGGACGGCGGTGCGCACTCCGATGGCTGAAGGTGCAGCGGCATGTGGTAGAAATGGGAACCAAGTGGCCCAGGCACCTGTGGCACATCAGCTGCGTTTGGTGGCGACGTCGGGGGGCTTGAGTACTTGTGCTCGTCGTGGTCCTCCTCCAGGATGGTCTCCATGGGAACAAACTCCGACTCCTCGGGGTCCACACTGTGGCGTGGAAAAAGGAATTCGAAATGCTTCGTCGCCTCCTTACTTTTTACGTATAAGTGCTGATACATTTATTGTAGCAAGATTGATGTCATCGAATCACTCTAGTATCTAGCTTTCTGGAATGATCGTATGCTTATAGTGAGTGTATTGGATATAAGTAACATATTTTTGTGTGTCAGGCATAATTTCATCGGGCACACAAAGGCTACATGCATGTTGTTGAGTGCGTTACATGAGACAATTGTCTTTGCGAGAAGTGTGGATGACATTACGCTGAAAAACACTCAAACTAAAAACCGCATACCAATTCAGCAATTCGCTTAGTGTAAGGGATGTGATCGAAGCACCTTGCATGAAGTGATGGCATTAACATGGTCGTGTATGAGTAGCATAGAACAGGAAATGTTGCATGATGTGCCGTGAGCACGTTTTTTTTTTTTTGTATGTTTTCTTATTCGTGTACCTCAGTTGAAGCACCAGTATAGTTTACCGTTCTTGATATCTCTAATACCAGTCAAGTCCTAGAAACTGTATGGATATCTACTGCCATGTGTAAAGTAAAATTCAGTGTACAGACACTGGAGCAGCCCAGTTCATTCTGTGTGGCAGTGAAGTGGCCTTCATCGAAGTCCTAAACTGCGCGTTTCGTAACATAAGAGAGCAGCGAAGCTGTTCCCGGAGTGAGCTATGGTGTTGGGGAGTCGTGTGAATGTAACTTAAAACGCTACCAAAGCTGTAAAGCTTTGGTTGAGAACCATGCAAACCTCTACTAAGGACGTAGCAACTCACTCGAGAGTCATTGCGGAACCCAGGTGTGGCTGAGTGCGGAGGTTCACCGACGACTTGGTGTAAGGAAGCTGTGGCTCTGCCTCATCCCAGTAGATGTCGCGCACCAAACGCGGATGCCGCTGGTGCATGTCGTCGACGATTTGGAATGACACCTGCCCGCATCCAAAGGAAACGGTAGCACATAAGATTAGAAGGGGCAAACAGTATTGAGGCTCACATGGCATACGCAACTAGTCTTTGTCTAGCTGCATACGCAGTACTATTTTTCAAGGAAGTGAGCTGCGTTATATAATAGGTAGCACTGCTCACTTGCTTCCGTGATGTTTAAGCGTGGCATAACTTGTCACTGAGGTCATGCTATTCACCTTGACGAGGAATTCTTTATAACGCTCCATGTTTTAGAGCACTTTTGGAATGAAAGCCGGTAGAATAATCATTCCTTGACTTAAACTAGCTCCTTCTTAGTTGATGAATATCCATATGAGGAATTACATTTGTTGCACTTTCTGATGATTGGTGGGGTTTAACGTCCCAAAATCACCATATGATTATGAGAGACGCCGTAGTGGAGGGCTCCGGAAATTTCGACCACCCGTGGTTCTTTAACGTGCACCCAAATCTGAGCACACGGGCCTACAACGTATCCGCCTCCATCGGAAATGCAGCAGCCACAGCCGGGATTCGATCCCACGACCTGCGGGTCAGCAGCCGAGTACCTTAGCCACTAGACCACCGTGGCGGGGCTTGTTGCACTTTCTTCACAAAGCAGAAGAAAATTTCACTTACGCCTTACGCTTCAAGTCGGAATAGGCAAAATTTTTGTTGGCAATGCATCACAGATGCTAACAAGTGCTTTTTGGAAATTTGTTACCGCTGACAGTGGATGTCAGTAAGCGTTCGATAATCACTGATTAGTACTACAAGTTGCTCATCACCTTTTCAAATAATGTAACTCTAGGGCACATTTTGAAGTTGCAGAGTTGGAACCTGGTCAGCATTTAATCATGTCCAATCAGTAAGGATCCTGATGTTAATTTTCGAAATTGCAAAGGTATTATTGGTGTCCGAGTCAACATTTCCAACTGTAGCCTTCCTCACACTGTACAAGACAAGCTCATGTGGAGTGCCAATATATATTGTCATAAAATGACAGATAAGTCTCGCTAATTGGATGTGGCACGAAGGAGAAAAGGCCACCACACCTGCAGGTTTCTGTCAAGGCACCAGTTCAGTTCAAAATCATCGTCGTCTTCACCAAAGGGGTTTATAAGTTGTTCAGCCACCTGCAATACATTAAGGGTTGTGTCATGAATGGGCAATAGCATTGATAAAACACTCATATGAGGCATACAGCAGAAATACACAAAGGTCTGGTTGTAGGATTTTGTTGTGGTTGTGTACTAAGACAATATTGTTATATTTAGTATGTTTTATTCATTATATTTTACTTTTTATTAAGGCTTTACATGGCCTATAAGTAATTACAGTATGATTTTTAGTCGTCCTAGAGCTAGTTCGCACAACGAAAAGCTGTTCATACATATTATAGGCATACCTACATACAAATGGATCCAAGGCCATTTTATGCGCTTGTGTGGACAGGTAGGACCACACAGCGCATGTCCCCCTTGTTTCAGGAAAGTAAATCAGTGGTAATATAGAAAATTGGGCTACTGGGCACATACTCATGATGGTCCATCAGTGGTATCATCACCTACTGGTATAGGTTCAAGTGATCTTATAGTTGACTAGTCTATTTAAACATAAAGGTTCAGCTTCTTAGAATAATTATACGAGCAAAAGAATAACGATACAATAAAAATGCTTAGAAGTTTTGACGCTCCTGCATCGGATGAAACAAGCAAGTATGAGCATTAATACAAACAAAAGCACATTGCACGATACATTGTCTGAACAATTTTTGCTCTTTACCGAAACATGCTGGCCCTAGTAACAGCTTTGTGAACCGATCAAGCATGAAATAGAAGACGAGTAAAGTGCGGCTGCTAGTCAAACATTCTTTCAAGGTGCGAAGAGATAAGGCTGAGTCTTATTGGTTGCACATAAATGCTGACTGAAACACAATTCTGAGCTGCAAGAATAGAGTGAAACTACAAAGACAATGTGCCAAGACAAGAACTAATCGACAAGATTGTTTTTGGTTCCTCCTTCTATTAGTTCTGCCCAGTAGTGCATTGTCATTGACAAATCGTAAGGTGTGACGTGCTAACACACTTACTTTTAACCATCCCATGTAGAAAAAAAACTGCAGGATGGTGAAGATGGGGATGTACAGGTCGATCTCAGCACCAGAGGACGAACTGAGGTACTGCCGGCCCATGACTGTGGCCAGGAAATAGGTGTAGATGGCCAGCGTCACCACTTGCGTGTAAACCAGGGGGATGCTGATCCAATCGTAGCTGTACAGCATGCCGCAGCAGCCACGAAACTCGTGCATCTCCTATGGGGGCGGGAGAGAGAAGAGGAAAATAGCGGTCAGCGACTGGCACGCCACTGGGAAGGTGGACGGTCACTTCGGAGGGCAAAGAGACCGCCCGCCACCAAGAGCGGCATGGCCGTGACAGTGCAGTCTGGGCAGCTGCAGGAACTTCACAAGAAAGAACACTGCTGGTTATTTTGTTCATTGATTGATGGGTGCTAGTGACGGTGTTGTGGATCAGTGTTAGTTTATGCCTTATAATGCGGAAGGCTTGTCCCCATTCTAAATGCAAGAAGTGAGCTTTCGGGTAGTAGTTATGTTTGCAGATCATATTTTCAGTAAGGGTATGACGATTATATCACAAATGTACTTTTTACTCGTCCACGTGTTGGTTCACGTGTCCTTCCTCCACTTTGTTCTCCAACCCCTTTGGCTTTTTTTCCCTTTGTCTTTCAGAGTATGCGGCCAGAGAAGCTTTACTTTAGTCAAATATTTCCCATAAATAAATTTTCTTTCTATAACTCTGTCATACCGTCTCGCAGCTTCCACATCAGCGATAACAACAGCCAGCAGAGTTCCTGCAAGGAAGCCCAGCAGTGCCACCGACCAATCACCAGCCACTTTCTTCCCGTCGGCATGGTGCCCTGTCGGGAAGAAGCCGGCCCAGAACCACAGAGTTCCATTTACCAGGGACTTCACCGCTCAAGAGATCCCTGGTAACCGGCTGAGCAGTTGTTGCTTACACCTTTCTCTCTCTCTCTCGCCCTCTCGCTTTCACAGCCTCTGCAGAGCAACATTAGGGGTTTCACACAGCAAAGAGTTTCGCTCCATCATTCACAGCCAGTCTCTCGTTTATCTTTCTTAAGTCATTGTCACACCTGGAGCAGATGCTTGAGCAGGATGTCGTCCTTGATGCGTCCTTCTTTGCGGGCGCGAACGGCCAGCGCGACGAACCACTGCGCCGGCACCCACCACTTGCCGTGGGACACCGGGATCGAGTCGTACACACGCCGCTCCTCCTTCGTCATGAGGCCTGCCAGGAAGCAGAATTTAGCCACTGTGAGTCATCTGTAGCATGAATTGTTAAGGAGAATGTGTAACCTTAACCCACCAACATGCTCGTGCCTTTACAAACGAAAGGCATGTTTTTGAAACATATGTCTGTTATTTCTTTACATCAGCAGTGTTTGTATATTACTTCCTGATACTATTGCAAACAAGTGCAATCAACATTTGTGCATTGTGTGCAAGCACATTCAATCACTCGCCTGTTCATAGAGAAAATTGAGCACTGGGTTTTGCAACAGCCACGACATCAGTAAGCAAAGCCCGACTGTGGGTATTGAGCAGACAAAGTTTAGATGCGAAGCAGCTCTTTGACTAGTCTATACGACGTTGTCCTTCCATCCGCACCATGCTCCCCTGGCCGCAGGTGTTGGGGCGGTGCCAAGTAGGTCACGTTTTCCCTCGCAGTGCATGCAAATTTACGTCACTCTCACCCTAACCTCTTGCCGCTCGCTGTGTGTGACACCCGCAAAACTGTCTTTCCCCCCTCTCTCACCTCGCAAAGTCGTCTGCTAATAAAAAACCAACTGCTCTCTCTGCACAACCGTTCACTGGTCACCCCGTATATGTAGGCACGGGATAGCGCTTTTGGAATTCAGTCAAGGGCATCTTAGCTTTTGCTTGATGAGCACCAGCGCTAACGTCGCCGACAGTGTAAGCGTTAGCGCCCGCTGCTTTGCATCTACACATAGTTCCTTTAGCGGCAGATGGTCCAATTTATTTTCCTGTTGTAATCAACTAGAACCTCTCCACACCCTCTTGTAATTATTGAAAGAAGGCAAATTTGGTGCAAAAGTTGCACAGGCTTTGTTGCACTCACTTTGATCACTCGTGGAAGGCACTCAGCACATGCACTGTATGCACACGCATCATGTACATGTTTCAGAAAAAATATCTCGAGCCACCTTTGTTGCGTAAAAGTGGTCGTCATCAGAGCTCACCACGACTATACATGTGTACGTGATCCACTACCTTTCATGGGATGCTAGAAGTTCTTATTTCTTTTGTAATCATAGTGAACGAAGGCCAGGTGTACATATGTGGTTCACAGAGCAGTCGAGTTGCAATCACACATATCTGTGATGCCTCGATGTAATAATTTTGTAAGTAAAGTTATTGATTGAGTTATATTGATTGACGGAAATATATAACATTGCAGCTGACATGCATTTGCTACATCTCATTGGTGAGTGAAGCGTTATTCTAAATATAAATTTGCAAACGTTTAATTATAGTGTGTCTTTTTCGAATTGTTATAACTGTCAAGTTTTGAAGTTTCCTTTCATAGAAGTGCAATATCTGTCTGCATTGCAGTGAGATAAGTATAATAAACTTTATGCTTCAGTCTCCTTTAACGATTTCATAGCCTCATCTTTTTATGTGAAGTATTTAGATGCTATAACTCCGTATAAATCGACATGCTTCCTGAAATACCAGCTTGAGGCAAACTCTGTGACTTGATAATAGTTCTACATTTCTTCTCTTGATGGGCAGTTTGGTAGGAGAGTTAAATGTGCACACACAGCTCTACAGAGCATCCTGTTAATGATTTTGATGCCAAAATAATCACTCATCATTAGTCTATGTAAAAAATCTACATGCATGTCATTGTGCATTTAAATGTTTAGATAAACCATGTGTAAATCCCTACTTCTGGTGCTGATAACAGGTGCAAGATAGCATACAGCAGAGGATCGAGCTACTGTATTAGTGCATATCTTATCTGTATTAAAGACGATAGTCCTTCTTGGGGTACTTCGACGCAAAAATTTTGGTCTGTCTATCTGTACATTTGTCGGTTTGTCCGCCATAACAATACCCCTAACGGCACCGACTGATACCTTAAACGACCGACCCCATCCGCAGCACCCACCAATATTGCTCAACTTAATGTGAGGCACCATAACAACATGTCAATATTTTGTATGTGTGCCTTTGTACTAGAGAAGACATACATAAGTAATTCCAAGGACCTGTAGCGTTTATCACACTGCGCTGACAATGAAATACGATGCTCAAAAGGCAAGGGCTTCCAATGCTTTGCCAAGACAACACGGTGGTGGCACCTGCCCATCGCTTTGGGTTCTACATCTTATCGCCTTCAAGATGGGCTGCGCGCCGGTCTTCCTTTGTTTTCGAAGATAACTGCCAGATAGCACTCGTGTCTAACGTGCCTCGATGCACTCGTTCGCCTTCGCTGCATGGATCAAGGCTCTCTAATGTAGCGCGTCCAGAATACAATTGACCAATTTTATTGCGCAGAACATAAAATAAACGTTTTGTTCACTTTCTCCAAACGCAAAACTATCGTCTTTCGAAGACATTTGTTGTGAAACATGTAGATACGGGGCCAATTTTTTTACTTAAGAATACTCATGTTCTGCCCGCATAGATTTTCACAACCAGGAATTCTCCAGTGCTCTTGCTAATGCCACCACCTGAAACCTGCACGACTAAACAGGCTTGCCTACTTGCCAGTTGTAAATACAAGTGCTGGCTGACTCACGTGCGCAAACAAGCCTTATTCTCTTGACAGCTGTGCTATTTTTAAAGTGATACGATGTATTTTCTGGTTGGATGGCTTCATAAGGCAACATTTCCCATAAATTTCATGCATCGAATGGCATGCCACGAGGCAGGGCAAGAGCATTCATGTGTCACATCCCAAACACAAGCTCATTAGTTAATGCAAACATTTAGCGATTGTAAACTAATAAAGAAAATTGTAGTGTGTCAACTGTCACGAAGGACATTAACTGTTTTTGTGATTTCTTCGACTCCCTGGCATCTCGAAGCAGCTAGGTGCTGAAGTAAAACAGCATTCCATGTCTTGATACTGCATAGAGCACCGACTGCATATTACACCAGTCCCATTAGGGCATGCTAGAGGTTTCATTAATTTGTCAGCATGACTTGTGCCTTGGGTTTGTTTTCTTAGTGCACATTCAAGCAAAAGGAGCATCCATCTGGATTATTTCTGTGCATTTCTATACATAATAGACCAAAGGTGTTCAAGTGTGTTCAAGGTGTTGAAAATAAAACAAAATTGTGGCAAATTATCCGGACTGTTGTAGCATGGACAGCAGTCAATGATATAAGGAAGACACTTGTTAGTACAAATTTTAATTTATTGCGTTTTCATAAGAACACATAATGAGCATTATTCAGATGCTGATATTATCTGAATGAATACATGAGGTGTCATCACACCACTTGTACATGTTTTTCAATATTAGTTAACATTCTAATGTATAATTTATTATTGTGAAAGGTTTGTGTAATACAGTTATTACACTTATATCCTACATTACATAACTCTCTTTTACTACTCTAGCTTGTAAATGTTGATACTGACATTAATGCTGATTAAGAAACTTGATTAGAAGATTGGGCAAGTTCATTGATATTGACCATTTTGAAACATTAGCCTTTTGAATCATTTATTGTGATGGACTGTCTGTAAGTGCAGGAAATTTACATAATTTTTGTGCCACGGTTCTGAAGACAGAGCTTAAACCGAGTGGAAGTTTAAATAATTGTGATCACAGTGTAAATGATGACCTGATTTCTGCACAGTCAGTCATGCTATTATTTCGTCATAAACCAAATCCTATGTCCGAGTCAAACTACATGCGATAGTTAACAACTTGCAGCGGGCATTCCTAAAGAGGTGAAAAAAGAAACTCTTTTAGATTCCCGTCAAAATGTCCCTCGCCCACCGTCTCGTTGAAACACCGTACTGCGTTCGTCAAAGAGATTGTGTGTAGAAAAATATGAAGGAACTCAAGGCATCAAAATTGCTTAATTTACTATTAGCTGAGTGTTTGCGGTCTCTTCTTTTGCCAATAGCGCACATCAACAACAAAAGCAAGTCGCAAGTTTAAAAATAAGGGTGCTGTGTTGCAAAGGCTGTGAGCAAGAAAGATAGATGTATGTTGTACAAGAAAAGACCAGGAGTTCTCACCAGCTTCCTCCATGTGGTCGAGTGTTGGGAAGCGTTTCTTGACCGCTGTGCTGATGGCTTGGAAAGTGAGCGCCGACAGGAGAGACAGATAGCGGGCCATCGTGCGCCGAATCACGCGGCCACGCTCGTCAGTGCCGTTCACGTATGCTGCTATGGCCATCACCGCCCTGTGACACAAAGGGATTAACATTTTGTGTGCACACTAGTACGTATATCATGACGCCATCTCAGTAAAGACAGAGCAAAAAGGTTTAACGTACAGCTAGCGTGCCTTTTTCACGTAGCTGAGGTCCTCTTCAGTTAGACCCGTGCTTGGGGACATCCCTCTGAATAAGTTTTGCATGCTTGTATGCAGTTGTTGTCAAGTGAACAAAGATTGATTGACTGACTTCAAAATTTATGTTGCGGCTGTCCTGGCAGTGAAAGCGCAAAGATAATGGTGCACTTACAAGTTCAAGTAACTTGCAAAAGTTGCAGGAATGTGTTGTAGTGTAGATGCATCGAGTAGTGCGATGCATCGAGCTGTAGTGTAGATGCATAGCGCCGCTAACTGAAATGTCTTTGTCAGAGCTTGTTCTTTTTGTACATTTTGTGACGTTATCTGGACGCTTGCGGACGTTCCTTCTAACGGGAGTTTCACCTCCTAAATATTTCTTCCTCTGTTGATTGAGGTAACACTTGACATACATGCACTGTCCTGTTTTCATGCGACAGCAGAATTAAACGAAGACTAAAGTAACTGAGAAAGCACGTTCTGTAGCATGCGTGCCATCAGTTCCATTTAACAGGAGGTTTATTTAGTGAGAGATCAACAGTGGTGCGTAATTCATGTGTGAAACCGATCATGATGGAGGCACTCACGTTTAAGCAGCAACTCCACTTTAAAAAATTTCCTTTTACTGAGAGTTTGCCGCATCGGCTTTGTTATGTATTCACACTCAGACCTCAGTATAAAAAACCGGAGTATAACACGATATTGGTTACAATGAAGTAAATGAGAAATAGCTTTGTATTAAGTATAGTGTTAGAAACAAACCTTTATAACGAGTTTTTGAGTATATCGAACTTATTTTCGTGTAACATGCAACTTTGTTATAAAAAGGCTTGAGTGTAGTATCAGACTGACAAACCACTATATTTAAGAGCACAAATGTGGGAAACTGTGGCTAAATGTACACTTGACAATTTTTAGTTAGCCTGCCATTGCAAGTGTGACACTCACTTGTCGGGCCAGGGCACGTTCATGTACTGCTGCCACCAGCGGCCAACGACGATGGACACATAGAAGCCGAGCACAAATGACAGCGGGATCAGGTCCGTGAACTTCTCACAGTACTTGGCCAGGCTTTCGAAGATACTATTCAATAAAAAAAAAATGAACAAGCCATATTTTGTAGAATGTGGCAACCGTCAATATATTCAGAGCTGTAGACATGTCTGCGTTTGCGTCAGTGCTTATCCAAAGGCATTTGACCACTGACTGTAAAAATAGCGAGTGCGTTATATTGCGCATATTTGTGCCATTTAGGGTGGCATAATGTACCAGCAGTTGACATTCGCTCTGAAATCAGCAAGAAAAGTGACAAGAAGTCCACTATAAACTTCCTAAAAAAAGGATTGTCTACATTTTGATAAAAAGAATGAAAATGAGTGAAATTTCAGCCATTTCTTACTAATAAGCATGGGTTTTACATTGTGGCCTTGTGCCACTGTCAGGTAGCCTGCAAACACAATTGGATCGGTTTGTGCTAATTATTGCCTTTAATGATTACATAGTTAAAGCAATTAGTGGACCTCACGCAGAAGCATTGTTGCAGTAAGGGACAGATCCAACCACTCACATCAGGGGAGGGGGGTCGTCTCTTAAAGTAAAACTGGAGAGCGGAGGTCCTTTTTTTTTGTTTTCAGTAGCTACTATAATCACTAAAACCACATCACCGCATAAATGCTGTTGATTTGTGCCTACAGTGGTCTCACTCATTTGTCTTAATTGGTGATCAGTGTACGAGAACGGGGAGGGGCAGACAGAGGCAATCACTCTTACTGCTGCCCCTCTGGATTCGCCAGTGCTTGCAGTGCAATAAATCTTCAATGACACTAATAAAGCAAGTCTGCATGTAGATGTGCTGTAATTGAACATTTGATTGAATGTTATGAAAAGCAAAAGAAAATGCACTTATATTTGAAACAAAAGTGAATGTATTTACATATCCAAGATTTCCGATTGTCATACCCCTTCATAACATTCAATGAATGTTCAGAGAGTTCAACTGTAAGAGCTACAGTTACGAAAACCCCATGCCTCTGTAAGATCACTAAGAACACTCACGCTTTTTGATTATCGTTGAGTATGTGCCGGTAGAGGGCGCTCAGGCCAAAGTACAGGGCACAGAAGATGATCATCTCCCGGTAGAGGAGCTTGTAGATGCTGCCACGCCATCGCAGAAGCAGCTTGGCAAAGCCGCACAGCCGGGCCTCCGAGACGTTCAGTGAGTACGTGATCGTCATGTTGGAGGGCTAGAGCTCACAACACTCTTGAAGGAGTCTTCCAAGAGTTCTACAACGACACAGCACTGTGTCAGTGTGAGCTTGGGAAGTGAGGGTGGTGTCTTCTGTGGCACAACACGTATTTGAGGGAGGCGAGTGCCTCAGAATCACCTCCTCGAAATAGTTTCTGTGGGGTCTTCTGTGTGTTCCTGACCAAAGAGGAGGAGCCGAGAATCCCCAACAGGAGGGCAGCACTGGTTGCCGACGGCTCTGGCACGGAGCCGGCCGGCACTCGCTGCAGCACAAACAGGAGTCGGGCAACCTTGGTAATGTCGCACAGAAGCTGTGGGTCTGCCGCTTCTGTTTGTGAAGACTGGATGTGGAGGCGAAGCGTCGCTTCTAAATGGCCTAGCTGCTCTTATCAACTAGGTGCCGCACGGCCCTAGCTCACCCTGCACCAAGAATTTAAAACATGACGGCAACAGTTAAGTGCGAGCACATGGCAGCTGAGGATGGCAACATTGTAGCTTTGGTACAGCATAGCTATCTAAGCTCGTAGATTGATGGCTAGAGAAATACTCATGAACACTACAATGCGATAATGTATTGTTCATCAGCCACATGTGCAGAGTGCATCTTTTTTATTTCTGCAACTATGTCACATAGTTGGCTCTGGGGTAACGCAGCAAGGCATTGAATGTGGGAGGGAGAGCATAGTATAAGTGAAAGTTGCATCTCAATCCTTCAATTTTTCACGAGCTCTCTTGAAGGGCAGCCCGGTGCTTCTGAATAAAGAAACTGCAGATAGATGTTTATTGTTATCAAATGTTGAACTAGAAAATAAATGACCTTGCGATGTCATTCCATTGTCTGTATGATGGAGTGCAAATAGGTGTAGCTTCACTTGATGTCATATGACACTGTAACCCAAGTAGTCTCTTCATGTATGTGCAAGAATTTTAGAGAGTAGGAAAGAAAACAGATTAATATAGCTACACAGAGTACACAAGTACTCATACTGTATGTTACTCTCTTTATCTCTCGGTCTACTGACAAAATATCTTATGCCAACTGGCACATGTACACAGCCATCATATTATGATGCAGTTATTAATAGCTGCTGTCAGCTTTTCTTTGATACATTCATCTCATGACACTGTAGTGCTAAAGTGCCTGTAGGAGGCACTCTTTTCCGAAACAAACCCAAATTGTATACCTTGTTGACTATAGGTATTGTTATGGGCAGACATGGTTGCACGGTCATTCTCAAAAAAAAAAATGAAAGCTCTGCTGTTCACTCCAGCCCTAACTACTACTTCCCAAGAGACTGCAGAGAGATGCTCGTTGTTAATGAATGTTGAACAAGGAAATAAATGACCCCGCGATGTCATTCTATTGTCTGCGGGGTGGAGTGCAAATAGACACAGCTGCACTTGAAGTCATATTACATTATAACCCAACTAATCCGTAGTGATCATTCAATATCTCGAGTAGTGAAAATACATTTCAATGATTTCTAGTGCATGCATTCACTAAAATAATGTTTGCACTGAATGCATGTTTCCTCTTATCACCATGGCTCATCACAGTCTGTTGAAAAATGTTGTTCCTGCATTATGATTAGTGAATAATCACTCTTGGCTGTTCCTGAAAAAATGAAGTGATGTCCTACTTGGAAATGACAGTTAAAAAGTTTTAATCATGCCTATTAGTGCCCGTAGTCAGTAGTAGCTATTTTAGTCAAACCAAACAGCTGGCAGTTAGCCGGTGACCAAAATTATGAAATATATAGTACATACATATATACATGCCACATAAGGCAAAGAGCTGAACATATTATAATAATCAGGTGTTTTCTTTGAATTTCTTCAAGCAATCACATTGGGTAGTTAGACGCACAATAAAAATCGTGTGATTATCGCAAAGAAAGTAATGGTTGATGGCCGCATTGATGACCATAGCAGCTGTGGCATGGTGCTACCGGGCACAAAAGCTTGTTTCATTTTTGTCCACGGAGCTTGTGTTTCGATGTAGATTAATGCAAAGATACCTGTGTACATTGCTTTTGGGGTATGTTTAGGAAACCCAAGTGCTCAGAACTGAGCACAAGTTCTGCGGAAATTATCCACAGTCTAACACCGCTGTGCACTTATACTCTGGCTTTTTCATTACAAACTGCAGAATTAATTTCAATTCATACTTAAGCTTTCATTGAATCCTTGCTTTTATATATTCGGACACATAGCAATGTATAAAAAAAGTGACATTTAGTTTTTTTGTTTGCTTTCTTTGAGACGGGACCATGGAATAACACAAAAAAACACAAGTTCATTTTTTTGCGTGGTACATATGTACATTCTCTTCCCTCTGCCCTTTTTTGCTGACTGGATAGGTTTATGATAACTGAAGGGGGCACGAAGGTTTCAGTATCCCCATACTGAATTCCTTACTTTCGAGCATGTAGTATACAGCTGGAGTGCACCTTGCACAAATAAATTTCTAACTTTGGGCACAACGATTAATGTTGTGCACGTTACTTACTATTTCAGCTGCATGCCCCCATTTTCATGAGTGTAGGCAGGAATTTTGGGTGGGAGGAGCACCACCTTAATTTTGGGGGCAGGGGCGAGGAGCACGAACCCTTTGTGCCACGCCCTGGCTATGTCACTGGCCTTCCCCCCCCCCTTGGCGTCTGGGTAGCCCTCTTCCGCCATTTGTGTTTCTGCCTCTTTTTTCCATCAGCATTTCAAACTGCGCTTCTGCGCACGTGTGATATCTGTTGACGTGATGCAGGACGCAAGCCTATTTCTTCTGGGTGGAGGAGACTCAGCATGGCGTCTAGAACGCTGCCGCCCGAACGTCGCCACGCATTGCGGAGCGTCATCGACGGTGTGCAACCACAATCGGGTCGACGGAAAACAGCCGTATTGTGATCTGACATGTAGCTCGACGTTTAATTATGTGCTATTCTGAATAGGGCGCACACGCAGCAGCTCAACAAAAACAGTGGTGTAACTGCAGCATATGTACAGCGTCACGACCATACCTGCAGCGGAAAGCTACACGCAGCCCTCGCTTCGATTTCAAGTTGGTGGTGCGGTAAGGTCTCTATTTGGACTCTAAAACACCGCCCTCAATCTGTGCGTGCGATAGCGCCGATGGCGGCAACGAAGGCACAAGCGCAGCAGCAACGTCCGTTAAATACCATAGACATTAGACACTGAAATAGTGTTCTGTTAAATATACGATACGTTTTTTCCGTCACTGAATGTAAGTACCCTGAGGATAGCGTATAACCTGTGCGCACTGGGGGCCAGCGCAAACGCAAAGCTTTGCGCACCTTATCATCGAAACTGTCTGTTGTGATTGCTTGTACAGTACCGCAGCCTTTCCCAAAGACACTCGCATGGCTGCGGGTTTCCCGCATCTTCCCGTCTCGATTACAGGCAAGTGTAATGGCCGTAACGATCAGATGTAGATGGCAATCGATGAAAGGCTTCGTGTAAATGATAATTTATGTTCCCTCATATCTCTCTGCTAGACCGTGCCCGGCACTTGTAGTGGACAATGTTTATTGCTTGTGTAACAACGGGGCAACGGTCTATTGCTTCGCGGAAAATGTTGCAATCGTATTCACGTCTAATTGTCGACTCATCAGGCTTGCAAGGAATCTGAAGTATACCATTTTATCTATTCCTTTAAAATTTGCAGTTATTGTATAGTACATACGCGCACACCGGCACTGATTAATACAGTGAAAACATTTTAATGTAGTGGAACACGAGCGCCTTTAAAAATGTAGAAGGAGAGGGTAAAAATAAATCAGAAGCTAGCTGTTGAGAAATTTATGACTAGGTACTACAAAAGTGACTTCCGGCTTTCTTAAAGCTGTATCTGCAGCATCTAAAGCCAATGAAACAGGTTCATACATATGAGAATTTTTCCAGAAGACATAAATTAGCTTCTTGAACAAACTAGCTTTGTAGACTCAAGCTAAAGTTATTTTAGAATTTTGGATGTTCTATTTTAGAGCATCAATATTGCATTAGCGATGATGTGGACCATACAAGAGTGATATCTGTCGCCTGTACTGCAAAGGATAAAGAGTTGTGAACTTGGTTCTTTGAAAATTCGACATTTTCATAAGTTTTATTGACAATTGATAGCATTAAATAATACTGTATTAGTTCCTCGACAATCAAATTTTCGCGTTTAGACGCAGTGATCCAAGTCCTTGATGTGGTGGTTGCTGAGAAAACCGACTTTTCTGTGCCGATTTGATTTCCAATTTGTCAAAGCTCAGGGTCATTTGTCCGAAGCTCAGCACAGAATTGGCCCGGAACAAAAGTCCTATCGAGTAGCGTGCTCATTATCCACACTTTTCTTCATAGGTATGGCCAAATATATCAAATAAGTTTTCTTATAAGCTGCACACAACATTGTAAGATTCCATCCCTAAGAATAGGAGCCTCACTTTTACATGAAAGCAGAAAAAGTCTTTCCTAACTCTAGCAAAACTTAAAAAGGAAGCCTTCTGCTTCGTTGTTAAGAGATTGAGAATTGAAGTGACTGTAGTTTCTTGAGGAGCAAAACGCTGCTGCTGCTGGCGCAATGTTGAAAGCGACCGAAATAGCGAGAAAGATTCCCCCACCTCCTCGAATAGAATCGTGAGGAAATGCGAATGCTTTCTTGAGCCGAGAGAGGGTACCGTTGTGGTCAGACATTCGCTTTCACCGACTTGTGCCATCGCCTTGGGAGGCGCCCAGCCAGCGAACGGTCGAGAGTGAGGAGCGAGCGGACTGGAGAGTGGGGCGGCGGCGTTCTCGGTTCGGCGTTGGCGTTTCACAGTGGGGTCTCGAGCACACATTTCCGGATGTTCTTAGGAGGCGCCCAGCCAGCGAATGGTCGAGGGTGAGGCGCGAGCGGGTGGGTGAGTGGGGCGCAGGGAGGAGTGAGACTGAACGGCGAGAGAAAGAGCGGTGAAGCACTACACCTACCCTCTCATACACTCTCGCACCACATGTTCCGGTTGCTAGGGGCGAGCGTAAGAGCGCGCGCCCGCAGTTGTTGCTATGGGAGAGGGAGTGAGAGCAGGAGAGATGACACCTGTCGGCGCGCGGACAACGCCATATGCCTGACAGCTAAAAACTGCATTCGCATTTTAAAAAAGTGTCGGCTTCACTGCTGCGCTTTTAGATGCAAGGAGAAGCGCAGCTCCCAGGTATGCATCGAGGGCCGCCAGGTGATATTTTGCCACGGCGCTCTTGCTCTAACGAATGAACGGCTAATTAAAAGGGGAAAAAAAAACTAATGAAGCAATGCATAGCGATCTGGTTTTCAAACCACAGGTAACAGACACACGAAGTGTAAAGCACGACGTGGCGCCATGCGCATCATGCTTCCGCCCCGTCAACTCGCACCACACCCGGCGTTTTTCCTCTTCGCTCGCAGCAGTACAACGTTGGCTGCGCGAAAACGAAACTGTCACTGCGAACCTCGCGCACAGCTACTACTGCGGCGCCGTCGGAAACTGGTTCCGACCGGATTCGGAGCGACTGCGAGAGTTGATGGGGGTCGAATAAAAAGAAAGACGGAGAGGGCGAAATATGACGATCCCGTTTTGCCTCCCTGGCTTTGTACGGCCGCCGTATACAACTGCATTGCCAGGAGGAGCCGGCTTAGGCCTACAACTGGGTTACCGCAGTGTTTGACGCAGTGGCAACACCCCCAACTGAGAGGTAGCCGTGACGGAAAACAATCCGTCTTCGTTGTAACGCTTCCGCGTACAGGGTGATTTAAGCCGCGGTTTTGCGGCGTCACATTAATAGCGCGTCGACACCTGGCTAAATGTCAAGCGTGGCAGAGGAGTAGACGGGCGTGCGCGTTATAAAATATCGATTTGGGAGAGAGGCCGTTAGCTGATGTCATCGCGAGATCGACGTATCACAACGCAGCGTTCGGATACTACGTCAGTGCCTCTGGAGCATTTGTATGTGTGTACATTGTAAGCAAGAAAAGCGCACGCTGAAAAAAAAAAAAAAATTGAAATGCGTGGTGGTCGGTTCGACGGCGATGTCGCAGTGCATCTCCGCTAATGTTAAAAAAAAAAAAATACCGACGTATGATGCGAGACAGTGCGCTGCAGTGTATCGCGATACACTGCAGCGCACTGCCTGCATGGCGGTATGGATGGGATGCTGCTGATGAGCTGCCATTACGGCGCTACTGAATCACTCAGATCTGCAGTACATTTGACGATTATGGTGGTTAACATTAAGAAAGTCTAGATAGAAGCCACTGTTCTTTCTGACATCTGAGCCATTTTTTTTTTTGTTTTGTTTACCTCCCACCGGCCGCGAGTGGCCCGCGTAGCAGGTTGATTTCCGTTTCAAATCGGATGCGGCGCCTCTCTTATGCAAGGTTGTGAAGGCACGTAAGATGTAAGAGAAGATAACGCGATGGTTCGGCTTCGTACATCTCGCGCCGTCAGTTCCAACGAGGATCTGAGGTGTAGCGCATCGAGGACGGGAGACAGAGAAGAAGACACTAAACACATACACAGTGGATAACCAACAAGCCCGCCGTGCAACCTTAGTTCAACGAGGAACTCTCTTTCCAGAGCGTTATCACAATGATACATCTCTCTACAGCTTAAAAAGAAGAAGTAGAAAAGATAAGAGACTGTAGCCATCCCGGTCGATCGTCACGGAGTCGCTCATGAATGAAACAAGAAATCGCGAAGGAGATTACAAGACGAGATCGACTCACCGGGCAAAGTTGTTCCAGCGTTGAAGGCAGCTCGTCGCTGTCGAGGGCACCATTTGCCCCGGTGAGGTGCGGTTTTTTCCGATTCGAAAATCGGAAAACACCGAACCTACGGCGGCGCGGCGGGTTGCGCGAAGTTTCTCGGCAAAGCTGCGCCCTGTCGATTGACCCTGGGTCTTAGTTTTTATTGCCTGCTTTGTAAGTCTAGAGAACTAGTCTTCGGGCTACGCGCTTCGGTAAAGAAACTCAGTGCTGCGTGTTAATGATAGGCCAGCGGCGTTAACGGTCTTGCGACTTTCAACGCTAAGCGAAGGAGAACTGCCGGAGGAGCCCTTCCGTCGGCTTCGAACGCGGGAGGCGCGATTGCGAGCCAGCTGCCGCGCCGGCGAGGTTTTTATGCGGGCCTGTTGCCAAGTCTACCGCTTGGGTTCGTTGGTAGAGGAGATCGCGACAGATGGCGCCACGCGTCCTTCAAGGACGCCGCTCGCCGGCCAATGGTCGCCAGCGCGTGGGCACGTGGCTAAAGCTCCGAGAGAGGAGGAAAACAGGAGAGGAAGACAGGGTTGAGGTCAGCGTTAATCGCGATGGATCCGGCCAACGTGGCGCACGTACTGCACGCTTGACGAAATGCCCGCGCACTGCGAATAGAAATAAAGAAAAAAAGTTGGTAGAAGGGGGTGTTCAGACATAGGCGCGCGCACTGGGATGGGGAGGCGCGAAGACTTCCCTTTGTGTCACGTATGCGAGAGTAATCGCGTATTTCGCATTGATGAAATTCGCGAACAGAATTTCTGTAAGTTCATACAGGAACTCATTTACACATTGTTGTGCCCTGCATCCTTTATTATTTTGCTAGCAGCACGCTAAAGCTTATTATTTTTCAATCAGTAAAAATGACGAATAGCCCCGAATTTGTTGACATATTAACACTTTATTTGGTATATTGAAAGTTGAGCATAAAAATGTAAGCACCTGTGACCGCTTACTTTCTCAAAATCATCGCAGCCAGCGGGCCCCGAACGCGACATTTAATACCACCAGCACCTGGACAGGGAAGATGGTGGGAGCTAGATGGGGTTGGGGTCGAACGATACCGCATCCATGCTGTTGCCGTTAGAAAGATCAGATTTCTCATAATGCAGATACGGGTCATTTCGAAAAGGGATTTAGAATCAGGTTTCCAAAAGCATACCAGTTCTGATTTCTAACAGTGGTTGGTATTTGGACGGTGGTTCTTATATACGAGAGCTTTCATTCCGCGGAGACGTTTCAACTCATAGAACATTATAGGGTGCCCACGAAAGCAAAACAAAACAAGAAATGCTTATGATCATTTCCGTGTCTACAGCTTATCGAACGAAGCGTTCAAAATTGCAATAGGCCGGAAAATAATAAGAGTATTGCGGGTCGCGTCTTCGAGACCACTGACTTAAGACGGGTGGCTTGTTGGCCTTCTTGTGCAACATGTTCATAAAGTTAAGTGGTTGTTTGTGTTCTCCTTGTCCATTCTTCTAAATTCAGTGTTGGGCTAAGGTTTATGAACACTGACCTTAAAGTAAGCCCTTACTGTGACAAGTGTGTAAAGTGAGCTTGAAAAATGACCTCATAATTAGAATGCTCAAGTTTTATTCAATTAGTGCATCTACTTAATGAAGGTACATTTATAACAGAGGCAGTTTCGTCAATGGCGTGGACTTTGCGTGTTCCCACTAGCCCTTTTGCTGGGCGTAACTGCTGCATCATTTGAGTGAAGAGTGCTACTATATTTATTTATTGATTGATTTCATTTTTCGGGCTGATAAAGGTATACATTGCCGGCGTTCAGGACGAAAGGAGGGTGGTTCGCCTCCTGACGTGGTCCTGCTCGCGCTGAGCGTTGCGGAGATCCGTCGAAACTGGCCCTTCGATGCTTCGTTTTTTCTTTCTTGCTTTATTGATCGCATACTTCGTTTACAACCCATCCTACTAGCTAGGCACGGATGCGCTGGGGGACAGGCTTTTCATGGAAGCCAGCAAAGCACTAGGACCCAACGTTTTTAGACACTAAACGTTGCTAGGACCGTTCCTCGTGAGGTCATGGGGATTGTTAATGTGGAAGTTAGTGCAATGGACGTGGCGCAACATGGGGCGACAGCCAAGTAGTGGAGTATCGGATGAACCGCGGGGGCATCGTCCAAATTCGCTTGCCCAGATAATGTCGGCGTAGAAGCAACAGACCATCGTCATAGGAGCGTTGTCGGGCCCACTGTAGAGGTCGTAGGCCTCACCCAAGGTCTCCAGGGCTACGCTTAGTGGCCCGCTCTCATTAACTGGGGTCTTATCAAGCTCTTTCTCTACACCGACCGCGTTTCTTTCTAAATAAAGGATCGATTTCATGCACCGTGACCTTCTTTATGATGGTAGGGTTTACAACTTACTCTTCCACGATGCCTCACCGGAAAATACGCTGTTCTTTTTTTTTCTGTATGCTTAGTGACGTCTGCAGATCTGCCAGCGTTCTTTCCTGTTGAAAAAGAAAGGTGTAAAAAGGTAGTAACAGCGTAGTTTACCCCTGGCACGTTTACTGCCTTTCACTAACGTTTTCTTCAGAGGTAAACATTCTAGTTACAGCTAATGTCGGGGTTAGTATTTGCTTTCGTGTGTGACGGGTTAGTGAACATTATAGGCATGAACATTACCATATGCGTGTGCGTGCAGGCTGCAAAGTCTGCCCTATGCTTGGACAGAGGAGGGGGGGTGCTGCTGCTGAACTCCACCCTACCCCCCGGGAAGGTAACCCTGCGCACCCTCATGGTTACTACCTCAATTTCCTGCGGTAGGAAATTGAGGTAGTACAACGTACGCTATACTCACCTGTACAACGTATACGCTATACTCCAAAGTAGAGATATATGTGTGTCCTTCGTGTTGCTATTGTAGTGGAGCATATGCTGTTAAGTGTGTTGGTCTCGCTGAAGTCTTCATATTCGGCGCATTCCTACGCGTGTGTACGTGTTACCGTCATTTATGGTTTATTCATGCCGTCATGTGTAAATTAGTGTCTAAAGAGGTCGTTGCGGATGTGAGCGCTCTACAACGGAGTCAACTTGCAAATAGGGCGATGGTACGCGCATGCCCTCAAGCCCCCACTCAGTTGGTTTCGTCTACTAGGCAGTAAAAGTTCGTAAGGATGCATCAGGGCACTTCACATCAGTAGGCAAAATCTTGCTCGAACGTATTTTCGGAAGGTGATACTTACCAGATCGCATGAAGAGACAACACAGTACGGTCTCACTCAGTGACGTAAATTAAAGGGGTCAGCACCTCCTCCCCGTGTTCAGGCAGGGTAAAAGGGTGGAATCCCATGCAAGTGTCCCCCACTCGAGATTTATCTTCTCAATGTCTCATTTGAATTTATTTGCAGTCAAGCACAACACACTCTTCGTAAAACCAACTCTCAAATCTGAAGCACTTTCCTTTAGGAGAATCGAGGTACTTCTTCTAGCAGGTACGCAAGATGGGTGATACCTTTATGGGTTAGCACAAGAAGTGCAACTGTTTTAATTGCACCATCATCATCAGCACCAGCCTAGTTGCTCCCATTGCAGGACAAAGGCCTCTCCCATGTATTCGGTCCTGTGCTTGCTGCTGCCACCTTATACCCGCAAACTTCCTGATCTCACCTGCCCACGTAGCTTTTTGTCTCCCCCCTCCCCCCACGCGCTTGACTTCTCTTGAAATCCAGTTTGAGATCCTTAATGACAAGCCGTTATCTTGCTGTTGCGCTACGTGCCCTGCCCATGGCCATTTTTTCTTCTTGATTTCGGCTATGATGTCCTTGACACCCATTTGTTCCTTGATGCATTCTGCTCTCGTCTCGTCCTTTAGAGTTACACCTATCATTTTCCTTTTCTTCGCTCGCTGTGTCGTCCTCAACTTAAGTTGGACTCTGTTAGTAATCCTCCAGGTTTCTGCTCCGCAGGTTAGTACCACTAATATACAGCAGTTGTAAACATTTCTCTTGAGGTATTTAGTGGAAATATAACAGTCTTGATCTGAGAATGCTTGCCGAATGTGCTCCACCCCGTTCTTATTCTTCTAGTTGCTTCAATCTCGTAGTTCGGCTCCGCGGTTACCACCCGTCCTATGTAGACGTACTCTTTTACAATTTCAAGTGCACTAATGCCTATATCGAAGCGAGGTTCACTTTCGAGGTTCTTGTACATTACTTTCGTTTTCTGCAGATTATTTTTAAGACCTACGTTTTTGCTCTACTTGTTTAATTCAGTAATCATGAATTGCGATTCGTACCTTGAGTTACTTAGCAATGCAATGTCATCGGCGAAGCACTTCCTGAAGTACTCTCCATTAACTCGTATCCTTAACTCTTCCCACTCTAGGCCTCTGAAAACCTCCTGTAAGCACGCGGCAAATAGCATTGGGGAGATCGTATCCCCTTGTCTTACGCCATCCTTTATTGATATTTTGTCACTTTCTTTATGGAGCACTATGGCGGCACTTGATCTGGTGTAGATTTCTTCCAGGATGCTTATACATGCATCGTCGACGCCCTGATTCCACGGTGTGGGCATGACGGCTGGTATGTCTACTGAATCAAAAGCATTCTTGTAATCTATGAAAGCTATGCATAGGGTTTGGGTGTATTCTGAGCATTTCTCTGTTACCTGGTCGATAGTATTAATGGGTTCGATTGTTGAGCAGTCTTCATCTTAATCTATAAGAAATAGAACGACAAGGAATTACAGGCCCATCGGCTTGCTCTCCGTCGTATGCAAGGTATTTACAAATGTAATTTCCAACAGAATTAAGACAACAATAGAATTCAGTCAACCAAAGGAATTTCATTGCAATGCTTTAGCCCAAATGAAGCAGCCGCGAAAATGTTCCTGCCGGCGAGTTGCTGTTAGAAAGTAGCTTTGCGATGTGGTGTTGCACACTCAGCGCCATTTCTTCTGACTGGTTGCAATGCCAACGCTCGTTTTTTTGTTGTTCTTCTTATTATTATGTGTGGAAGCATAATTTTAATTTTATATCAATAAAAATAAAGCATATGTATAAAAGGAAGTCATTGCAAGATGTGTCGTCCCCCCCCCCCCCCCCGCCCTATAGTGGTCTCTATGGATTTACGCCAGCGGTCACAGGATTAGAATGTTGTATAGGTAGCCGATGGATTCAGCCTCGCATAATTTGCACGCGATTTCCCCGCCTGGTTTCCTTTTCGCTAATTGTAACGAATATACTTTGGTTTTTGTTTTTAACTAAGCACGGACAGGTTGTTAAATAGTCGCGACTAGCGCGATGTAAGCCTGCATAAGCCGGTGGTCTCTCTGTTATTCCGCATGCAGTATAGTGCGGGTGTGCCCTATCTCACT